CTTGAAAAATATGCCTGTCCATGGTGGGAATCAAACCTATGACCTTTGGAATACTAGCCCAATGCTCTGCCAACTGAGCTATGCGGTCAGGTCGGTTTGAGCAAAGTCCTTAACTGTGGTTCGAGTATGTGATATTTCAGAACAGAATCTAGTTCTAAATCTGTCCACAGGTTTGATTCCCACCGTGGACAGGCGTATTTTTCAAGCTTGCCCGGAGTGTATATACACTCATCATGATACTTTCTGTGTTGATGCAATGTACTCAGGTGAATATATGCTTGTGATGTTACTCTGAGTCTCAGAGTAACATCACAAGCATATATTCACCTGAGTACATTGCATCAACACAGATATCAAAGGAACTAGATTCTGTTCCGAAATATCACATACTCGAACCGACCTGACCACGTAGCTCAGTTGGCAGAGTAGCCTGCGAACAGGCTCACTGGGAGAAAGGTGAGCCTGCACGGAACCATGCGTTTTAATCAATCATCCCCTTTTCGCATCTGCTAAACGCTAACCAATCAGCGTCGACTGCGATAAATAAACTGTCAACTGTCAAATTGACGCAAGGCGTGTACATTGTGCAACATGAACAATAATACAAAACATTAGCGGGCCGTACAATATATTACTCGGAAAAATATAGAATTCAAATATTAAATAGATATCAATACACATACAAATATAAAGCCGAATAAAATACTACCATTGGCTTTGAATGTACAGTAATACTTGTACTATGTGCGACTGAAAGAACAATGTTCTGAATATTTTGAAGCTATTACTAAAATACGGTCAGATAGATTGGGATTTGGAATACCGAATACGTTTAAAATTTTACTAACTGTGGTCTAAAAAAATGATAAATGAGCATGTATTTATTAATTTCTTCGAAATCACGAGTGTGCCAATAGTGGAAGCCGTATCGACGACGAAATTGTCAGCAGTTAATATACAGCAATAGTACAACGTTTAATGTACGATATATATTTATCTAAATGACATGCCAGCGAGGATCAACAATATAATTATTCGTACATATTTGGGTATCTTTTGTATGCCTTCGCTTGCTGATTTGCTCACTAATGAGAATAATCCGTGAAGCCACGACAACCTCAAAATGTACTATACTATAGTCTGATGTCAATCCGAAGACGAAGTTCAGAATACTGTTATAGTTTCGTATATTGGATTTAAGCGATAGATTCAAGTCATTTATGATAGACTTTTTTTGCTGATGCTTTGCTATTGCTTTTGGTCTCCACTTCTAGTTTTATTTGTTCGATAGTCCTATAATATATAATATTAAAATGAATAAAGTTCAAATTCTTCAAAATGCTGTTGTTGACATTTGCTATTTTTAGTAATTTTGTCAACGAGTGTAAGCCAATCAGAAGCCTGCGTTTCTATACGAACGCCACTACCAAGAAAACCTATCATCCGTGCAGGCCCTCTATTCTTCGCGCCGCCCGCAACCCAGGGCCTGTTCGCAGGCTATTGGTAGAGCATTGGGCTAGTATTCCAAAGCTCGTAGGTTCGATTCCCACCACTATTTTTCAAGCTTGCCCGGTGTCACGATCTCAGCACTCCCCCAGTCTGAGTTATCCGTTTTGATTATCTGCGCATGCGTGGGGGAGTATTGAGATTGGTCTGAATGTTAAACAGTCTGGGGTATCTCCTGATATAATTTTTTAAAAGAGATAACTCAGACTGGGGAGTATCAAGACTGGTCTGAATGCTCCCCAGTCTGGTGTATCTCCTGATATAATTTTTTTTGAAGAGATAACTCAGACTGGGAAGTATCGAGATTGGTCTGAATGCTCCCCAGTCTGGCGGATCTCCTGATATAATTTTTTTTGAAGAGATAACTCAGACTGGGGAGTATCGAGATTGGTCTGAATGCTCCCCAGCATCTCCTGATATAATTTTGTTGAAGAGATAACTCAGACTGAGGAGTATCGAGACTGTTCTGAATGCTCCCCAGTATACAAATAATGAATGTTTACGAGTGCAATGGTAAGAATATTTTCAAGAGGTGAAAGATGGAATGTTCCATTCAACGAGGCGACAGCCGAGTTGAATGGAACATTCCATCTTTCACCGAATGAAAATATTCTTACCATTGCACGAAGAAACATTCATTATTTGCTTTATATAATACCAAAAGTCCAGAACAGACTAATAAATTCGTATGAGAAGCATTTTGAGGGATGCGATTTACCGAAAACACACAGAGTGCAATTGTACTATACGTTTTATTCCATTGCACTCGCGGAGAGTGCAATGGAACGCGTTCCATTGCACTCTTGGGAAGTGGAATTTTCTATTCAATATCACGTGACCATAAACAGCCAATTAAACGATTAGAATTTAATAAGGTATTATATAATCTGGGATATCTCCTGATATATTTTTTGAAGAGATAACTCAGGACTGGGGAGTATCGAGATTGGTCTGAATGTTCCCCAGTCTGGGGTATCTCCTGATATAATTTTGTTGAAGAGATAACTCAGACTGGGGAGTATTGAGAGTGTTCTGAATGCTCCCCAGTCTGGGGTATCTCCTGATATAATTTTTTTGAAGAGATAACTAAGACTGGGGAGTATCGAGATTGGTCTGAATGCTCCCCCAGTCTGGTGTATCTCCTGATATAATTTTGTTGAAGAGATAACTCAGACTGAGGAGTATCGAGACTGTTCTGAATGCTCCGCAGTCTGGGATATTTCCTGATATAATTTTTTTTGAAGAGATAACTTAGACTGGGGAGTATCGAGATTGGTCTGAATGTTCCCCAGTCTGGGGTATCGACTCCTGATATAATTTTTTAAAAGAGATAACTCAAACTGAGGAGTATCGAGACTGTTCTGAATGCTCCGCAGTCTGGGATATCTCCTGATATAATTTTTTTTGAAGAGATAACTCAGGACTGGGGAGTATCGAGATTGGTCTGAATGCTCCCCAGTCTGGCGGATCTCCTGATATAATTTTTTTTGAAGAGATAACTCAGACTGGGGAGTATCGAGATTGGTCTGAATGCTCCCCAGCATCTCCTGATATAATTTTGTTGAAGAGATAACTCAGACTGAGGAGTATCGAGACTGTTCTGAATGCTCCCCAGTATACAAATAATGAATGTTTACGAGTGCAATGGTAAGAATATTTTCAAGAGGTGAAAGATGGAATGTTCCATTCAACGAGGCGACAGCCGAGTTGAATGGAACATTCCATCTTTCACCGA